GAAACTGCTCTGTATGATGTATCTCTGGCTCCTGGTTCAGTTCATAGTACTTAGTAGGCACTCAAATATTTGTTAAACAAATGAATGGGCATCCATTTTTATGGAGGGTAAGGACATTCTTTCAAAAAGAGTCTGCAAATCAGAATTCCAGAATACATGAAGTCTGTTGCTAAGACAAGCATTCAGCAAAATAGAATGTGACTTTAAGTTTACGAAATGGTCTGAAATTCACTATAAAATAAAATATATTTAGGATATTCAAGGAAATAAAAGTATAAGTTCTGTTAAAACTGAGGAAGAAGTAAAATAGATGAAACAAGTTGGCAATGAAAAGTTTAATTATACATCTTGGAAATGAAAGAGCATAGCTGTTGATATAAAAGACACAGCAGACTTGATATGCTCTGGACTGGAAACAGTTGAAGACAGAATTAAGTAAGTGGAAAATGGAGCTGAGGAATTTTCCCAGCATGACGTAGATTAAAATACATGAAAAGCACTTAAGAATCAGGGAGAATAGAATACAGAGTGAGACTCTTTGCTGATGATGTGATATTATATCTAGAAAACCCCAAGGATTCAACCAGGAGACTCCTGGAATTGATAAATGAATTCAGTAAAGTCTCAGGATACAGAATCAATACACACAAATCAGAGGCGTTCATATACGCCAATAACGGTCAAACTGAGAACCAAATTAAAGACACAATACCCTTCACAATAGCAACAAAGAAAATAAAGTACCTAGGAGTATATTTAACTAAGGAGGTAAAAGACCTCTACAGGGAGAACTATAAAGCACTGAGGAAGGAAATAGCAGAGGACATAAACAGGTGGAAAACCATACCATGCTCGTGAGTCGGCAGAATCAACATTGTTAAAATGTCTATACTACCAAAAGTGATCTACAGATTCAGCGCAATCTCTATTAAAATACCAACATCATTTTTCACAGATACAGAAAAAATAATTTTACGCTTTGTATGGAACCAGAGAAGACCCCATATAGCAAAAGTAATCCTAGACAATAAAAACAAAATGGGAGGTATCAATTTACCAGACTTCAAACTATACTACAAGGATATAGTAATGAAAACAGCTTGGTACTGGCACACAAACAGGCACATTGACCAGTGGAACAGAACTGAGAACCCAGATACAAAACCATCCTCATTTAGCCATCTAATCTTTGACAAAGCAGACCAAAACATACACTGGGGAAAAGAATCCTTATTCAATAAATGGTGCTGGGAAAACTGAATAGCCACATGTAGAAGACTGAAACAGGTTCCACGCCTTTCACCTCTCACAAAAGTCAACTCACAGTGAATAACAGACTTAAACCTAAGGTGTGAAATTATTAGAATTCTAGAAGAAAATGTTGGAAAAACTCTTATAGACATTGGCCTAGGCAAAGAATTTGTGAAAAAGACCCCAAAGGCAATCACAGCGACAATAAAAATAAGTAAATGGGACCTGATCAAATTAAAAAGCTTCTGCACAGCCAAAGAAACCATCACAAGAGCAAACAGACAACCTACAGAATGGGAGAAAATTTCTGCATGCTACACATCCAATAAAGGGCTGATAACTAGAGTCTGTTTAGAACTCAGGAAAATCAGCAAGAAAAAATCAAACAACCCTGTTAAAAAGTGGGCAAAGGACATGAACAGAAACTTTTCAAAAGAAGATAGAATAATGGCCAAGAAACATAGGAAAAAATGCTCGACATCTCTAATCATCAGGGAAATGCAAATCAAAACCACAATGAGATATCA